ACTACACTATTCAACTATTAGGCAATAATTTTATAAAATATTACATCTAGTACACATGTATTATAATTAATCATTTTTATGTATTAATATCATTCACCCCTTATTTATAGTGTTATTTGGCTATTATATAGCCTATACTTCGGGCGTTTTACAGTTAGGCGGTTACTTGAATATAACGGGTCGTGTCTGTGGCAGCACTACTCTAGACGTTGTGGACATTCCCGAAATGTACAAAATGCGCGCTCAGGTAAACCCATTGTATTAGAATTACTGCGAGAATAATATACACTTAAACCTCTGCGATCTGTCACCCCCTCTAGAGAAGAGCGATTACTCGCGAGTGCTTTAAGTATCATAAAAGCGCTGATAAATTCAATAATATAATAAACGGTGTGCAAGCAAATGAGGGGGAGGTGCCGTGGATTGTATACATCCAAACAGTTAAATTGGATGATCATCGCCAACCAGAATAGTTTGTTTATTTTCTCACTCACTTACTCACTCACTCACCCACCCTATCAATCGTACATTATAGTGTTCACTGTAGTGGCGCCATTTTGAATGAGCAATGGATAATAACGGCCAACCACTGTCTAACGTGAGTAAAATACAGTTATTGTTAAACAAGGTTCACACAGCGATGCTATACAGTACGTTACCGACAATTCGTGTATTGTTCAAATAATTATCTGCAAATTTAATATTATTCCCACAGACTTAGATTTGAGTTAACATTGTCCATAGATATAACAATAATAATAGAATTAACATTGCCATAGACTTTGCATTGTCAATGTTAATCATAGCTGTTTTTTGAGAATCATAGCTGATATTGTTAACAATATTAAATCCAAGTAACATTGCGGTGAAAATGCAATTATACCAATAATTTTCTACCAAAAGTAACGCAATTAACGTAACGGTTTACGACGGAGTGCTGGATATATCCAAATTGGGCGCCGGACACGCGGTCGAGCGCTGGATCGGTTTCGAGGACCACCCCGACTACCCGGACTCGGATAACCTGGACATAGCGCTGATCAAACTGCAACACCCGCTCCGCTTACGGCCGCCAATCGGGGCGAACGGCCAGAAACCCACGCCGTGGACGGGCTCTGACCGCGTGTGTTTGCCCAAAGCGGACATCGAGGCCATCAATTACGATGACCTGGCGATGGTCGCCGGTTACGGCACCACCGGGTCGTCCGCTACCGACTGGGGTGAACTAAGGATCGGGTATATGCAGGTTCGCCGGCGCGAAAATAATACCAATTGCCATGTGATACGCGCCGAGCATTTCGATTGGAGCGCCACTACTTGTCACGTATGTAAAGTGTTTTCACCTAGGTATATTTTTTGTTAACCCATATCCATTAGGGTGATTCCGGTGGTCCGCTGATTCAGACCACTCGCACCGGTAAGCAAGTGCTCATTGGTGTGACCGAGAGTTATCGCCCGCGCGGGGAGTGTGAAAATGCAGTCGATGTGAATTATGTGAGAATCACCTCGTTTATTTGGTGGATTGAAAATACCATCATGGCCAACGATCATAGTCAACTAATGCCCGCATGCTTTCGCGATATTGTGGAAATACCATATGATTAATTCATATTATACTAACTTTATAATGCTCTAACTGATCTGGTGCAAAATTTTTTATGTCAAGAAAATTAATATATTATACAAATGTAATTATTTTATGTTAGTAGTTTAACTTATTAATATGCGCTTTTTTAATAATAACTTTACTAATTGCTATATTAATTTCTATTATTTATTTTACGTAAATAAAATGTAATACATTTATTCAATAAAACATGATGAAATTTTTTGAAAATAATATTTATAAATGTAAAAATTGGTAATGATTATATTGTATTTTAACACAACATTACAAATAATTTACTTCAATTTTAACGTAACATAATTTCAATACTATTTTCAATTTTAATTATATTATATAATATACCTTACATAGCATTCTGTATTTTGTACAAACGGTTAATAAATAAAATGTATTTAAATAAAATAGCCAAAAATTATTTGTGTTTTTATATCCTAAAATATTTTTATTTATTTAACAACATTCAATAATAATTTACATGAATAGATGTTATCCTTAAAAATATAAAATTAAATTTAAAATATTTTATATATTTTTCATTTACGGTAAATATTCATCTTTTATTATAAATGCAGTATAATATATTATTTTAATGCAAAACATTAATTATAAAATATCAATATTTTCGTATTTACACAACTAAAGTACTTTCTAAATATAATATGTTGTTATTGTCATATATTTATGTGAATTATATATCATCAACCAATTTATTTAAATAATTTATAAAAATAATTATAAGACTTTGTATACCAATTAAACTATATTTTGAAATGATTAAAACACGTTATGCAATTTATCGCTTAATGCTAAATAAAATCATTATTATAACATAATATTATTGGATATAAAGCTGTATTTTCCGGTACTTGTAATAAATAATTTATTTGACATTAAAATAATGTAATGACATTAAGTTATATCAAACAATTCTATGATTGTATTAAATCAAAAATTATTATTCATAGCAATATACGAAATTAATATTTAATATAAAATTGTAATAATGATACTTTTAATTAAATTATTTTAATTAATAATTATAAACTATTAATCATCATGATAGATAATTATAAAATTTTAAAATTTATTTATTTTATTTTGTGTTTAATATTATGTTTGTATCAAATAACTAAAATATGTGAAATATATTTCTCATACAAAACCACAACAACTGTTACTTACAAAAACTCTATGACAATATCATTGCCGGCAATCACTATATGTTTTGATAAAATACATGTTTTAAGGAATGAATATTTAAATAAATTGAATATAAGTTAAATAAAGATAACATTAATAGTGAAACCATTGATAGAGTGAATAGATTTATGGCTAACTATACAGTAAAACAACAGTTTGAGATGTTTTACGATTACAACCATATCTTTAAATATTGTCATATATTAAAACAAAATATCGTTAATTATAATACAAATAATAACAATGATTGCAATAATATCGCGAAATTAAAAATGTCACTTGACTATTTAAAGTAAGATTTTGTTGTATTTTATTTTGTATTTAATTATAATATCTTTGTCTCTCTTACTACTGTTAGATTATGTTTTACATTCAATCATCATCTAGCTGAAAAATATATAATTAATAACAATATCAAATTTAACGATTATTATGTTCGCATAATTTCCATGAGAACATTCATCGAGAATATAACGGTTGAAATCGCTGTCCATTCGTCGGATGAGTTAATCCAAAAACGTTTTCAACACAATTTCGTTGAATTGCCGCTAAAATCAATGCAAATAAAAACTCAATATTATTATATAGAATACAATCGAGTGATTGTCCACTCATTGCCCGAACCGTACAAAACACGTTGTGTTGACTATAAGACAAGACCATTCAAATTACTGGACGATTGTATTAATCGATGCCGTATTAACTCATACAGAGATTTCTGGCTCCGGGAATGGCCCGGATTTTTTTTTGGTATATAATGTTTCAATGGATTTAAAATTGTTTAATACTTATGAAAGACTGGAAAACCAAACGGGTATTGATATCACGATTGCCCACAAATGTAAGAGACTTTGTGGAACAGGTATTGACTGTCATAAGGAGTACTATTTTGTAAAGTTGCGTAAAAGGGATCCATGGTACGGCACTTGGATTGGTTTATATGCATCCAACACACCCGACCTAATCCATAGCCATTCGCCGACAATACTGTTTGAAGAGTTTGTCTCATATATTGCTTCGTATATCAGTCTATGGTTTGGTTTCTCTATTATAATGCTATCAAATGTTTTGCATAAATGCTATCAATATTTTCATAACAAATATATTCTATATAAATTAAACAAAATTCAAGTCAATAATAATAATAATAATGCAATTAAAATAAATATCAATCATAATACTCGCACTACGCGTAACATAAGGGTAAATAATTTAATAATGTCACCATAAATACACTTGTTTCATTAATAAATCACATTAATACATTATGAATAATATTACGTTATTTACAATAAATCATTAATAATGATTCATTATTGGTCTCATGTTTAGACAACATTATAATTAATAAACTACACAAGTAATGGCTAAATATTTTAGCACTTTATTTTCTAATTATTTTAAACATTTCCAATTATTCTAATAATTAATAATGTGCCATGGTGATTCTGGTGGTCCATTGGTACAGTTCACTCGGTTAGGTGAGGCTATGTTGGCTCGAGCTTTAGGTTGGGCCAAAAGGTGTGCGAACGCACCCTATATTATATACGTGAGTGTCTCGGCTAGGGTTGCCAACTATCCACTACTCAAGTGGACAGTCCACTATTTCGAGAACCTGTCCACTTAGAATTGAAGAGCAAATGGTGAACATAAAAGTATTCACTATTTAATTTTTTGACAAAACATTAATATTTTGTTTAAAATAAGGCAAATTATTCATTACATTTTATTCGGATAACAAATTATGCGTTTAAAAAAGTACAATTTGAAGGTAATTATAAATATTATTATTTATGATTTATAAATTATGGATGCTAATTTGTTGTGAATCTGATTCATCACTTCTTATGCCTATCCTTGAGCACGTGTATTGTCAATTCACTACCTCTAAGCCCGATGTGCAAAACTTTTTCATATATTATACTGTATATATAATATAAATTTGTTGTAGTTTGCAAAATTCATTTACTTTTCCTAACCACGTTTGTGTGAATTATTACATTTATTAATGAGTTTTTAAATAATTTACTAATTAATAATAATTCTAAAACCTATAATTAATTATAATTATTGCCCCGGTTAATTATGAATTCAAAACCAATGTCAGACGAGCAAATTAAACGCCAGTTTGCAGATAGTTTTGACTTTCAAAATGTCGATTGGATTGTTCACAATGGTAAAGTAATAATAAATAAGCCTGGTCGTATTGAATGGCTGATTACGGTAAAAAACACCACTGTTAGGCCGACAGATATATGGCTCTGCGGTTACATGAAGTCAGGCAACACTTGGCTCTCGGAAATCGTGTCCTTAATAATGGCCGACGGAGTGGTCGACAGAGTCCGGGAGCGACCCATCACTGAGAGGGTGCCCAACATTTTCATCGTAGACAACGATCGATGCAATAGTGTTTGGTTTGAAGGGTTAATTGATCCCAGAATTACTGTCAATCATTTGGAGCTCAAATATTTACCACGTTTTGAGGGCAAAGAGGGAAAGGTATTTGAGAGAGAGAGAGAGAGAGAGAGAGAGAGAGAGGAGATGACAACAATGTAATAGTAGTTATAATTTAATTGGCAGATGATATACATCGTGCGTAACCCAAAGGACGTGTGCGTCTCGTTATACCGCTTCCAACACATGACGAAAAGCCGAGCCATAGATTGGGATGAAATGTATGGATTCTTTCTCGACGGACACCTAATAATCGGCGATTGGTTGTCACACGTGACCGACTTTTGGCTCGCGTACGGCACTGGGAATCACCCGAGCGTACGAGGAGTTGATCGCAGACTCGGCGGCAATGATCGCCACAATCGCCCGCTTTCTCGGCAAACAGTTTACGGCCGAAACGGTGGCCAACATTACGACCCACTGTTCGCTGCGGACTATGCGCGACAATCCGATGGCCAATCAGTCCGATCTGATGACACGTGTGGGTAAACCCGGCGCACAATTCGTCCGGAAAGGCATAATTGGCGACTGGAGGCGACACATGACGGACACGCAGTCGGCACTGTTTGATGAGCGCTTTGGGCAACAGTTGCGGGCGATTGGGCTCCCGGTGTGCGACGAGTTGGCCGACGCCCAGCGCTGTATGCGAGACACCGGGCGTATCATTGTTTAGCATATTATTCGTTTCAATTTGAATAGAACAATGTAACCCAACAAGTTGAATTAATGGTGTTAATTAAATGAAATACCCCATATAACATTGCGAACATGTAAAATTACTATGTAAATGTAATATACAAAATATATGTAGAAATTAATCATGATTATATTAAATTACGTATCAAATGATTTCAATTTAAACATGTACACTCTTTATGTATATTAATATTGGTTATTTTGTGTTGGTATTTTTAGCCAAATATCAACATGTACTTTTGTAATAATTATTAATGACGATATAAATATCTACATTTTATTTTACCTAAATAAATAAGCCACGTAACATCCAAAAGCTACGCCCAGGGGGCGGGAACTCCCACTTATATGGCACCGGAGGTACATCTCTATAGGAATTATGATTTTAAAGCTGATATTTATAGTGTAGGCGGTATTGGCATAAAATTGTTTGATTGAACCCAGCGTAAGTACTTAAACAAAACTATTGTGCATAGCTCAATTAAATTGTCTAAAAAATTACATGTAGCGATTGCCAAAAATACAAAACGACCACATTTTGGACACAATTTAATCGTTTACACAATTTTATTGTATCAATGATTGAAATGGTTGTCGTTAAACGGCCGACCAGTGGTCAAGTGCTCGACGCATACACCGAGTGGTCAATTGATAAACAGATACTTACGGCAAACGAACAGGAATTCAATGAAATGCTAAATATATTAAAATTCAATGAAAACTCATTTTTCTACGAATGCTTACTGTTTAAGACTGAGTGCACGGATAGGGTGGCCAACAGCCTGTCGGCGGACACACAGCGATACAAATTAACATTGGATGACATCGAGGAACGGGTGGCCGCCGAAGAGGTTCGGGTCCAGCAAATGAATCCGCTGAGCACAACGTTCAACACCGACGGCATCGGGGCTGAGCTGACACGCGTAGAGTCGCGGCTAAACGGTATGCGCGTTGACGTACAAACACTACGAAAGGGTGGCTACAGTGCGACCACTGTTGGGCAACTCCACGATCGGGTGCAACGCTTGGGCCTGCGGTTGACGGACACCAGAGACAGGTTTGGCAGTCAAGTGTTGACCCCATTGGAGGCCAAACGTACTGACGCCCAGCGCCGGACTCCGGCGGCCAAACAGGCACTGATGGACAAATACCCAACCATTGGTCAACTCCAGGAGCTGCTAAATATGTTGTTCGCGTTGGCCAATGATTATTATAATGAATGCCATAAAATCACTGAAATTAAATCTTCAATCGACTATTCAAAGTAAGTATTCAAAGTTAAATTACTAATGTCTGTGAATAACCTAATGTCTGTGAATCTCTCTCTCTCTCTCTCTCTCTCTCTCTC